CCCAGGACAGGGTCTCCAGCAGGGTCCCAGCGGGATGCTGGCTGTGTGGCAGACCCCGGGCCGGTTCCCCTCCAGGTGATCCTGTCGGAGTCGAGCCCGGCGGGCGAGGTGCCGTTCTTCGAGACCTGGATGCTGACCTGCATGCCCGAGGAGGGGAAGATCCTCAACCCCGACCACCCCTGCTTCCGCCCCGACTCCACCTTGGTGGAATCGCTGGTCGCTCTCCTCAACAACTCTTCTGAGATGAAATTAGTGTAAGAGCTCTGCTGGGCTGAGGCAGAGCGGGAGGAGAGCACCCACCCTGTCTCCGCCAGCCCCGTGGCTGCTCTGAAAGAGTGCCTGAACCCCCGTGTGTCTCTTCGACAGGCAGATGAAGTGGCACGAGGCGTGTCTGAGCATCTCAGCTGCCATCCTGGAGATCCTCAACGCCTGGGAGAATGGTGTCCTCACCTTCGAGTCCATCCAGGTGGGTCCCATGGGAGAGAGAGGGGCTCAGACCCTGCAGTCAGGGCCCACAGCCCTGGGGGGTGATGCTGGGATGAAGCCTGTGCATCCACATGTGTCTCTGCTCACCCACCTCCTCCTGTAGAAAATCACGGACAACATCAAGGGGAAGGTGTGCAGCATGGCGGTGTGCGCGGTGGCCTGGCTGGTGGCCCACGTCCGCATGCTGGGCTTGGACGAGCGCGAGAAGTCCCTGCAGATGATCCGGCAGCTGGCCACCCCCCTGTACGGCGACAACACGCTGCAGTTCTACAACGAGCGGTGAGCTCTGCCGTGCCGCCTCCAGCCCTTCTCCCGCTTCTTGGGGACTGGCGTGACCCCGTGTCTCTCTCTCGCAGCGTGGTGATCATGAGCTCCATCCTGGAGCACATGTGTGCGGACGTCCTGCAGCAGACGGCCACGCAGATCAAGTTCCCCTCCACAGGCATGGACACCATCCCCTACTGGAACCTGCTGCCCCCCAAAAAGCCCATCAAGGAGGTGCTGACGGGCGTCTTCACCAAGGTGCTGGAGAAGGGCTGGGTGGACAGCCGCTCCATCCACATCTTCGACACCTTGCTGGACATGGGCGGCGTCTACTGGTTCTGCAACAACCTGGTCAAGGTACGGGGTGAAGGAAGGAGCAGCTGCGACCCCCAGGACTGTGGCTGGGCGTTGGGGACAGTCCTGAGGGTTCAGCCCGTGCTGGCTGTCCCTGGGCTGGCTGCTGTGATAGTCCCGGGCGCTGGAGGGAAGCGGGACAGGCTCAGCCGTGCCCGTGTGTCCCTCAGCCCTGCCCTCCTCCTGGCAGGAGCTGCTGAAGGAGACGCGGAAGGAGCACACGCTGCGGGCCGTGGAGCTGCTCTACGCCATCTTCTGCCTGGACATGCAGCAGCTGACGCTGACCCTGCTGGGCCACATCCTGCCCAACCTGCTGACTGACTCCTCCAAGTGGCACACGCTCATGGACCCCCCAGGAAAGGCCCTGGCCAAGTAAGACCCCAGACCCATGGGTGCTGTCTCCCTGGGGGTGCGGGCGCCTGTCTGTGGGGACGGGGAGATGCTCTGTGCTGGGACGGGGGTCCCAGCCGCCCAGTTCCCGCTCCAGCCACGGCACAGTGCCAGTGAGAGTCTGCTGTGCCCTGTCCCAGCTCACACTCTGGGCTCTGCCATCTTCCCTCACTTGCGCACCGCTGTCGGGGTGGGCTGGCAGCACCTCAGTGTCCCTGTCTGTCCCCAGGCTGTCCGTCTGGTGTGCCCTGAGCTCCTGCTCCTCCCACCACAAGGGCCAGGCGTCCGCCAGGCAGAAGAAGAGGCACCGGGAGGATATTGAGGTGTGTACGGCACGGAGCGGGGTCTGGTTGGAGGCTCTCCTGTGCAGATGTGAGCGGTGGCGGCAGGAGGAGTGGGTGGCTGAGACTGGACCCTGTTCCCGGGTTCCCTGGGCTGTCTGAGGTCCTTTGGCCTCAAAATAAGGGATTTCCCTTTATTTCTGGGGAAGAGGGACTGTAATGGGATGGTCTGTATGGGGTTGGCCCAGGCTGAGGTGCTCTGGGTGAGCGGGGATCGTCGTCCTGGGCCGTGGGGCTGTGCAGAGCTTGGGGGGCTCGTTGGGGTCCCCCCTGAACCTCCTCTGCCCCCCAGGATTACATCAGCCTGTTCCCGCTGGACGACACGCAGCCCTCCAAGCTCATGCGCCTGCTGAGCTCCAACGAGGAGGACGCCAGCATCCTCTCCAGCCCCAGTGAGTGCGGGCAGGGGTGGCTCTGGGGGAAGGCAGCGTCCTGCCTCGCTGCGCGGTCTGGGTGTGAGTGTGTTTTGGCACAAAAACTCTTCCCAAGCTGGGCAGGTGAAGATCTAGAGCACTCGAGTGTGTTTTGCCGAGTTACCCTGGAGCTTGTGCACTTAGAAAAGGTCAAGCTCTTGATTTCTCTGATCGGAACAGCTCAGGAAAGGGGCTGAAGTTCCACCTTCCCCCTGTGGTGCTGCCACCCAACACCCCTGAGTCACGGACGAGGGGCTCAGGGAGGTTTTGCTGGAGCCCCGTCACCCCCAGAGAGCGTGTGTGGGTGTGTGGGACCAGAGAGCCGCTGTGCTGCGGCACGAGTGGCAGGAGGTGACGTTCCCGATGGCTGTGGCTAAATCCTGGAATTCCACTGTCGTTAAGGCGGCGGCGAGCAGAGCCGATGAGTCCCTGCAGTCACGTCTCCGTGTCCCCGCAGCGCAGTGACGCGGGTTGCGACAGCTCCGGCAGGACGTGCCGGGGGGTGTCCGTGCCCTCCAGCTGCGGCGGGGTGCTGTCACCGCTCCCACATACATTGTCTGGACTCCTGGACAGTGAGTCAGGACGTTCCTTGTCATTGTTTCTTATCCTCTTACCCTCTTGTCTTATTAGTTTTCAACACATCCATCGACCTGTGGTTTTTGTTGGTTTCATTATTGTTGAAATATGGGGTTTTCCCTTTATTTCACTATCTTTTTTTAACCGTTGAGGCAGTTCCACCTCTTTCCAGTGACATTCAGGACTTTTTTGGGCTGTTTGCTGCAGCGATGTGGAAATGCTGCTTCCTGCAGCAGCCGTGGAACTCGTGATTCCATGAGAAAAGTGTGGGAGGGATTTCTTTTTTTGGTGAGAGCATCCTCAGCGCAGCACAAGGTGGGTCCTGATGGTTTTGGCAGGAGCCGCGTGCAGCGGGATCTGCACAAGAGCCTTCCCGGGAGACGTCCGTCCCGTTGGACCGGAGATGGCCCCGTTCCCCTCCTGCAGGAGTGCCCAGCAGCGCTTCCCCGTTTGGGTCAGATAAATCCCCGGGCTCTGTCCAGGATTTGCCGTTAGTCCGTGGGACACGCCTCGGCTCTAGTAGCTCAATTGTACCCTGAGAGTGAGATTTTTTGTGCTGCTCTGCAGCTGTTGAACATCTGGCGTGCTTCGCCAGCCAGCTGTGCTGCAGCAGCGTGCTCGGGATGCGTGGCGAGCGCGGCGCCTGCCCCGGCACAGCACGGTTCTTCTCCTCTCCCCATCGTGACGCTGCGTTACATCGCTCGTGCCCTCGTGGGGTGTCAGGAACGAGTCACTGCTGCAATTCCCACCCAGCAGCGAGCAGCAGGGAGGCACGCTCGCGGTCTGGCTCACACTCACCCCTCGGAGATGTCGTTAAACTCGGTCAGACTCAGAATAAACCTGGCTTGTGCAAGAGCCGAGTGTCACACCCCAGGAACAGCGGCGGCAGCACGGGGGGTCCTCCCTGGGTCAGGCCTGGGGCACGCATGGTCCCGTGCCACCTGCCAGGGCTGCCCCCACCCCGGC